GTTCTTGAAGTGTTTCATTTTACTCATCACTTTAGATTACTGTATTGGTAACTATGACGCATACTGTGGCACTCTCTTTTTTCTTACGTATGTTCATCAGTGCATCAAAGATGACATATCCGAATGTCCTAGAGAGACCACCAGTAGCACCCTCTCCCCAAAGTGAAACAGAAAACACGCTTTTGATAATAGAAGGAAACCACTATATTTTAATATATTCTGTTCATCTGAAAAACAAGACCCTTATATGCACTTTACATATCTCTTTGACGAAAACAGCAAAGTATTTTGTTCTCATTGAGAGTAACTTGTGTATTCACCCTCTCCGACCTAATAAATGAACTGAGGAAGGACTTGGAATGAAAATGAGGATGACCATCAGCCTCAGCTAGCCATTGGGGACAGATGATGTAGAACACTTTAGTCTGGCCAAGTACTCCTGTAACCTTATGAGATAGAGAATTCAGCAGGCAACTTTACAGCCACACTGTTAATTAAAAGAACTTCAATCACACATGTCAGATACATCGCCTCAGGCCTTACTGAAGTGCACAAAGAGAATTTGAATTACTTGAACTGTAGGAAAATGAGGCAGGAGAGTTGTCCAAGCACTGACTCTTGAGGCAAGGTAAAGCATCCCTGGCCCTGAACATATCTGCATGCATAGGGCACTCCCAGTCATTTAAGGCATGTGGTCATACTCTGAACTCATGCAAACACTTTTGGAATACTTCATTCCAACTCAGAAAAATAATGTTCGTACTAAGGATAGAAGAAATTGGATAGAAGAACTTGGATACATTGGAAAAATAGAGGCACTGTGTTTTTATAATGGCAATTATGGGGTGTAATTTCCAGTTAATTCCTTATGATGTTAATCAAATTCTGTTGTAAAGCATCAAGACATGCATTAATCTGGAGATCTGGTTTATGCACCTTAAGGAAACTAAGGCCACTGCTCACATCCTTGGCCATGTAACTTTTTTTTTTTTTAATCTTGGACCCATTTTTAAAAGTTGAAGGTCTTATTTTAAATATAAAAACTTTAATCCTCTTCTGTTTCACAAATGTATAATATCTAAAAATCAGATCTGTAATGATGTTTTCATTTTAGAAATATGTTTTCCAACCTCTGTTTCAAATGCTTGTTTTATCTAATCCTAGATATTAAATTACTTTAAATAGCTTTCTGTTTTATTTATTTTAAATCCACATAATTATTCTTTTTAATTTACATAAATTTTATTATCTCTTATTCATCCACATTTCATTAATGGTAGGTATCACTTGTAGGAAATAACAATGCTACCATCAAGAATTTTTCACTTCAGTTAAAAAATCTAGCTTTGATGAGATGTTTTTCTAGAGCACTATTTATATATTCTGTCCATTTATAAAAGTTATTCTTGATGTACTAGAACAATGTTTACAAAGAAAAAGTAATGGAAATTTTAATTGAGTCAAAATAATATGTTAACCTTAAGTATTCACAGAATAAATGAAAAAGTCTGTTTTTAATCTGAATTATATGGATAAATGTCTCATTTTTTCACTTAAAAAGGAACATATAGACATAATCTTAATCTAAAAAGATTATAGGAAACCATTATTTACTGGAATTTTTCTCCTTTTTTTTTTTTGAAAAGTACAAGCATGTTGAGTTCTTGCCTCTCGATTAATGAAAATGGGTATTTAATGAAACGTAAGGGAGATTTTTACCAGATTAAAAAAAAAAAATCATACTCTTTGCTTTTGTTATGTAAAAATAATGATGATGATGTAATGAATATTGATTTTAGAATGTAGAATACTTCAACTCTACCCAAAGGTATCAAAGCAATCTACTTTAACAAACAACTTTCTTGCATTTGATCAGTCATGTATTTCCTTGCGCTAGTGATTAGTATCTCTGTAGTTACCTATGTTTGTTTGGAAGTTCAGTGCCATAAACCTTCGTATGTTATTGATCACCTAGTTGAAGGGTTTTGGTCATAGAGATCCTAATAGTCAATCTCAGGGAGGCCCCATCCAAACCCTGTTGAGTGAAAAATTAAGTGTACGTAAACCAATGCTCTATATGTCTTAGTGTTTCATCTAAGTCATAAGTTAAAGGAAGATGTCAAATGATATAGAGCCAGAGTATTTTCCTTACCAATGTATATTTGTTGAGAAAGGGATTCATTGATTCTTCAGGCTTTGTCCTACAAGTATAAAAGAGGAAGTTTCTCCATGTCTGGTTAAAGATAGCCTAAAAAAATTCCCAAGTTGCACATAAGACTCATTTTTGAGTTTTTGTTTTTGTTTCCTTTTTAATTTTCATTCATCCACATCCTTTCCAGAACAGAAAAACAAAACAAAGCGCGTGCACACACACACACACACACACACACACACACAAATAATATTAAAAAACATTCTAGGCTCATTGATTCATTGCTGTCTCAATAGATAGGTAGCTAAAGAGAAGATTATAATAATAATGATACTATTAGTAATAATATTCATAGCAACATTTATGTAGTATTTATTATGTGCCAAACATTATTTTTAAGAGTTTTATATATTCATTTAATCCCCAAAACAATCCTATGAGTTAAACAGCATCATTACATCAGTCTTAAAGATCAGGTGTAACTCGCTCAGGGTTACAGAGCCTAGGAAGTGTGGTTCTAGAACTTGTGATCCTAATCACTACGTCATGCTATTCAAACATTTCATTTTTCAAAGACAAAACAAATGAACCAATTAGAGACAGGATCCTCCCAAGTTCTGCTTTTTGGAATTCCATTCCATCCCACTCTATTTATTCACAACTGACTCTGCATATCGTATTTCTGATTAACTTTGGCCACCAGTTAAAATGTAAGGAAATATTAATGAAAAATTCCTTTAAAAGAGAAAAATGTAAGGTCTATTCCTATCAAAAGAGCCAGGATTTATATATGTATGTATGTATATATATTATTTTTAATCCTGATGAATTTATAAAAACTAACATGTTGAGAATTTACAATATTACAGGCAGTATGCTAAGTATTTTACATGCAGTAGCTAATTTACCTCTTGTTTACTTATCCTACAGTGTATTATTGTCAGTGTATTATTATTATATAATACAGTGTATTATTGCTGCTATTATTGTCATCCCTTTTTTTTTTTTTTTGCGGTACGCGGGCCTCTCACTGTTGTGGCCTCTCCCGTCGCGGAGCACAGGCTCCGGACGCGCAGGCTCAGCGGCCATGGCTCACGGGCCTAGCCGCTCCGCGGCATGTGGGATCTTCCCGGACCGGGGCATGAACCCGTGTCCCCTGCATCGGAGGTGGACTCTCAACCACTGCGCCACCAGGGAAGCCCCTTTCATCACTTTTTAAATGGAGAAATTAAGGATCAGAGTGACTGAGTTACTTACCCAAGTGTCAGAAAAAAAATTTCAATCAAATAATACTACAACTGCTTCATATGAAAAAGAAAAAAGTATTAAGTCAGATGTGAAAAGGGAATGTTTTAGAAATGAGAAGGTTATTGAGGAAGAAAGTTTCCATGCTGGGTTAGATTTCAGATGTAATATAACTTTTGAAAACCAACAACAAGACAAAAACCAGCCACAGACTATGATAAATAGAAAAGAGTAAATAGCTACTCTTTTCCCATTATGCCAGGGCAGGAAAGTGCTTAGTAAAATTAAGTGTCAATAAAGCAAAGACAAAAATGAAACTTTTTTCTAAGCATAGGCACAATTAACCTGTGAAAATTACTCATACTGGTTGGTAATGAAGCAGATAGCTTAGTGAAATTGAGAACATATCTGATTCACTATAATCAGATTTTCAGTTAGATCAAATCACACACTATATTAGTCATCCTGAGTTAGGGCACATGCTGATTAACAGAAAGGGTCACAAAAGAAAATTTTATTTTTTCCAAGGCCAGAGGGCCATGATTAAAGAAAATGATAAGAGTCAATGTTTATGACATCTGCGTATGAGGGAAGATGTCATGTAGATTTCCCAGTAGTGTGTGAATGCTCATCTCTGTCTCTGATGTACTACTACCTGTTGTTGTGTCCAGTAAGTGCCAGTTCTCTACCTCACATCCAGGAGGAAAAGAGACAAAGGCTATCCTGGTTTTGAAAGAAGAGAAGTTCACAGTAATTTCTCGTGCAATAGAGGGGTAGAATTATATTTAGGATGTTGTGTACAGTTTGGAGGATGGTTTACCGGATGGCAAAAAGTGAGGAAAAGACTCACCATAGGAACAGTGCAGTTATAAAGATCTCTACATTGGGGATCCTCTGACTTGGATTTTATCCCTATTCTACCACTGCTTATGTGGTAATAAACTATAAGCCTTCATTCTTAAGTGTTAGAGTTTCCCTTTCTGTAAAGAGTTGAATTAGGGGAGCTCATATGATTATAATATTTGAATTATAACTGCCTGTATCTTAGAGGAGCCTGTAATAGCATCCTTTGTAAAGTAAGTCTAGAATATACAGAAATATTTTAGTGTTTCCTTGAGATTCACTGTTCATGCAGTTCCATGATAAAAGCCTAGCCTGGGCTTTCAAAGGTGTGCTTCTGCTGGACCTGTTCAACTCTTGGCAAAAGGGCCTTCATATTATTTTTGTTATTCAGATTACATATTACATGTTTGAACATGCTTACTTTCTGAACGTATTACTAGATCATGTTATTTGATTTTTCTTTTGAACAATCTATGAGACTACGTTTACTCTGAGAACTTATCTTTTACCCTTTCGTTTTCTCATCACTTGTATTTTCCTGTTTTTCTGCAGATCACTGTTTCAAATAAAATATCTCAAGAGAGGGCCTGGCATTCAAAACAAAATTGAAAAATATTCTATGGAATCATATTTGCAAAAATCACACTATAAAGAGTTTATAGATCAGAATGTATTCCTTTTAAAATTATACTTTTTATTAAGTAGAAGGTAAGTAGTGGACACTAATGAAAAATTTCTTTCTTGTTTTTGCTTTTTGCAGATCTGGATAATGTGGAGGGCATTGCTGTGGACTGGATTGGAAATAACCTTTACTGGACAAATGATGGCCATAGGAAGACCATTAACGTGGCTAGGCTGGAAAAGGCTTCTCAGAGTCGGAAGACTCTCTTAGAGGGAGAAATGTCCCATCCCAGAGGAATTGTGGTGGATCCTGTTAATGGGTATGCAATATTTGATCAGCTTTATATAAGGAAAATTATATTAGATAAATTCGTTTTTTACATATTTAGTATTAGTAAGTTTTATTTAAATCCACATGTGCATTCACACATGAATGGCCTCACTGGGAAAAGTTGCTCATTTAATGATTATCTCTCCTAGAGAATGTGCTAAAAAAACATGTCAAGATACATTGAACTGGAATAAACAGATTATTTGTATAGAGAATATATTTACTTGGTTTATTCAGACATGCACCATAATTCTCCATTTTAGACAGCCTGACACCAAGATAAATAATCAATTCAACCAGCAAATCAATCAATTTAATTTTTTAAATTAAAGGCTATTGAAGTTTAAAGTATTCAAAAAATAGCAAGTTTCCATTTTTTGTACATTTACTGTGGGCCAGGCATTTTGTTAAATAGATTACCATGATCTATGTTGTGATTCTGCACAATAATACTTTGAATTAGTTGCTGTTCTCATTCTTGTTTTACAAAGAAGAAATTTGTAATGGACCTGCAAAAGACCATTTGATTATTAAGAGACTGGATAGATATTTAAATCCAAGCAACTTGCCTCCAAGACTTTACTCAGAGCCACTATACTCCACTACTTTTTTTTTTTTAACATCTTTATTGGAGTATAATTGCTTTACAATGGGTGTGTCAGTTTCTGCTTTATAACAAAGTGAATCAGTTATACATATACATATATCCCCATATCTCCTCCCTCTTGCGTCTCCCTCCCTCCCACACTCCCTACCCCACCCCTCTAGGTGGTCACAAAGCACCGAGCTGATCTCCCTGTGCTATGCGGCTGCTCACCACTAGCTATCTATTTTATGTTAGGTAGTGTATATATGTCCATGCCACTCTCCACTACTTTTTATTAGTCTAGGTTGGTAACTCTGTATTTTTGGACATAACCATAGTTTCCATATAGTGACATCATTTTATAGTATGTGTTACTTGTTTCAGGATGGATTATTTTGTGCAATTTTTGAGAATATGTTTTCCTTTGATTTTTATTCATAGCTATTACCTGAACACAAGCAACAATGTGCATATAGAAATATTAAAGAAATGTGAAAATTCCTAATAGAATCTCAGAATTAAATGAGTGGATTGCATTTTCTACATGTACAGTTGTTGTATGTGGTTTTTATCCCCTCCGTGGCTTATATTTCACTGTTTCAAAATGGTACCACAAAATTAATATTTTTATACCTTACTATTGCATACCAAAAAAATACTTAATTGAATAAGAAGCACATGACTCCCTTATAAACTGAGATCACCAGATTGCAGTTCCTAAAATTGTTTGTATTGAGAATAGCTCCAAATACAATCGGTGCTTCTTTCCAGGCTGACCTAATCAGTGGATGAACTCATTGCATGTTTTTTGTAAGGCATAATTATAAAGTAATTTTAGTGATTTTATGTGTGGATTCTTTAAATTTCTATTTTATTCCTGGACTTTTAAAGCAAGTCATCTATTTGACCTTTAAACCAAGGCAATCTTAATGTTTAGAGAAAATATTTATTCCATGCTGTCTAAACCTCCTTGAAGCAAGATGTTTCAAATATATCTTAAAGCAACATCTTCCTTCTCAGTATTCTGTTAGAGGAAAATATTTTCCGATGGAGTCAAAGGGTCTTTGAGGTGCTTGGGGAGATGACATAAATGTGCAGGTCATAGAATTAGATGATTTGGAAGAAAATTTAGGGGCCACTAGACCCATCTCTCTCTTCAAATTCAGGAATCCACTTCAACACTTCCCTAAGAGGCAGGCATCCAATTTAGATTTGAAACCCATAGTATCTACATAGTTCAAAGTATCTGGAGACAAATCTGATTGACATGACATTTTTTCTTTTCAGTAAGGCAGTAAGTGCATCCCTATAGTACGTATCTCCCAACTAATCCTATATTTGCCTCTGATGTTGCAAAGAATGGCTCTTCTACTTCTTCCATCAGACAGATTTTTAAATATTATAGAATACTGCTATTATGCACCAACCTGAAAAAAAAAACTCATATGTGTATGTATATATGTGGATATGTGTGTGTAGGTATATGTATATACACATGTGTATATATGTATATATACACATATTTTCCCCTAACAATATACAATGCCCAGAGCTCTGATTATGTATACAGTGGTTAACAAAGCAGGCATAGCCTTTACCCTCATGAAGCATCTTGTGTCATCTGAAAAGTAGGGAATGGGCAGATGCCTCAATGAATAAGTACCAAATGAACAATGAATGTAATTTCTAGAGACCAAAGTGATGGAGTCAAACAAACAGGTTGATGTGAAGGTGACTAACAGAAACCTATTTAAATAGGCTTGCAGAAAGGCCTCTTTAAGGGGGCATCATTTAAGCTGAGACTTAGTTGTAAAGAAGGAACCAGCCATGGAGAGTGAGGAAAAGAGTTCAGATAAAGAAAATGGAACAACTGAAATCTTAAGTTGGGCAAAAGCTTTACTGTCAGAGGAACTGAAATGAAGATGGACTGGATTATAGATGGCAAATGGGAAAGTGACTGAGGATGCAATTGGAAAGGAAAGCAGGGCCTTGCCCACTACCATGAGAGATATGTACTTTGTCTTCAGTGTAAATGTAAAATAGAGAATTGATATAGTCAGATTTATATTCAACAACAACAACAACAACTAATCTTACTATTCTGTAGAGAATGGATTGGAAGACAGTAGAAGTAGAAATGGAACCATGTGAATTTAATTGTCCAAATAATCATTTGACGCTAATATAAGTTTTTGAAAAGTGAAGAAGAAAGTTTAGTTTGGAAAACTCCATTTAAAATAGGATAATATAACTTTAATCAAAACATTTTTGTAAAAACCTGGTTCATTTACATTTTTCTACCATAATACCTTTTTGCAGCTGTACACAGGAGAGCATCACAGATTTTCTCTGCCATAATAGCCTATTAACAAAAAGTACTCTTCAGAGGTATGGTTTTATCAAAAGCGTCATAACCAATTATAGAAATCAGTAAAGGGATAATTTTTCATCTATTTATTAAAATATATTGTTGAGTGACTACCATATAGATCAGTAGAAATCAGTAAGACAGTGATTGTATTCAAGGAGTTTATAATCTGGTGTGCTTGGTGTACACACACACACACACACACCCCCAATACACACACACACACCACACTCACACTTTACCTATAAAATAAAATAGAATGAAATACATGCTCTTCGGGAATTCACTGAGGTTTTTAATTCAGAATTGAACTTTAGAGGATGGATAGATTTCCAAATGAATAGGGTCCCAGGGGACCCTATTGGGATGTGCAGTCATAAGGTTAGTCACTGTACTCTGAAGGGACAGTATGAGTAATTGTTAGAGGAAGCTAATGGCAGTTTTGAGGTGGGATGAGTTCATTAAGGCTAGAGCAGGGGACATTCTAAGGAACATAGCAGGAGGTGAGACTAAAAATATATAGAAATCTTCAATGTTGTAAGTAAAAGTTTTGACTTATTTTGCTGACATCAGAGTAATTGGAAGGTTTTGAGGATAAAAATCACATTTTTCAATTCATGATTTAGGAAGATAAGTGAAAGCCATATGATAGCTCTATGAAAGACGGTCCGTTGGGAGTTCTCTTTGAAAAGTGATGAAAGACAGACTGTAGCATTTGTAATAGCAACAGAAAAGTGTGAACTGAGACAACAGACAGGAAAGAATAGGATTGGCAGGCCTCAAAAATTGTTGAAATGGGGCTTCCCTGGTGGCGCAGTGGTTGAGAGTCCGCCTGCCGATGCAGGGGACACGGGTTCGTGCCCCGGTCTGGGAAGATCCCACATGCCGCGGAGCGGCTGGGCCCGTGAACCATGGCCGCTGAGCCTGCGCGTCCGGAGCCTGTGCTCCGAGCGGGAGAGGCCATAACAGTGAGAGGCCCGCGTACTGCAAAAAAAAAAAAAAAAAAAATGTTGAAATGGGGGTAAACCTGGAGGAGGAATCAATTATGATGGACTATTCCTCAAGGTGATAGCTACAGATGAACTCCCTCCTTTGCAATCATTTCAAATCTCATAATTTACATCAATAACTTAGAAACCTACAGCTCCAGTTCTGATTTCTCAAAACATTATCTCCAAGAAAAGATGAGTCCAAAGCTAAGTGCGTATTTCCCTCCAAACAGGATTTTCTATATCCCTCTCTCAATTAAAAGTACCACATTCTCTAGTTAACAGCTAGATATTATGTCATCAACTCAATCAAGTTTTTTAAAAGTTATTTCACTTCCATGGCAGAAAACCTTAAGGATTTAAAAATTTCTGGGATTGACCCGCCAGATAATACAGTTTAATTTGGGGGCATGATTAATATCAACAAAGCCAAGCTTAGTGCTACAGAGTACAAATATGAACGATAAATATTCCCTGCCCTTAATTATTTGAATTTTTAATTGGAATTATCAGACATGCAACACCATCAAATTCAATACATGGCATAAATGCAATAAATTCTCTAAAATAACTAACAACTATCACTAGGAAACAAAAGAATGAGCTAATTTTGACAGAAAAGCTCGGGGCTGACTTCATTGAGAAATTGTATTTGAACAGGGCTTGAAAAATAGAGGTACAATTTTTTTTTGTCATAGTAGAAGACCAGCTTAACCTAATTTTTATTTGATGAATACCCCAGATCCCACCTACAAAAATATTTATGTTTTCTCCTGCTTATTTTATAGGTTGCATTTCCTATTTTGTATGTTTATAAATCATCATATTTGATAATAATTATAAGGCTCTCACAATATATCGATAACTTTTAATCAGCTGAGTAGATGATCACATATCTGGTCTCCATCAGATTGGCATCAGTTATTTAAAATTTGTTTTTCTTATATTTTGTTTGACTAAAAATAGTCTCAGGTAGTGGATTGGATTACAAACAATTCTGTCTTCAAATAACAACACAATATAAAATATGTTTAGAATATCCAGAATTATCTCCTTTGTGTGTGTGTTTGCATGGACATATATGTGTGATTCGGGTTAGAGAGTCACAGAAAAAAAGTGTTACTATTATCAAGAGGAAAAGCTGGAGGGAAAGATAATTTCAATTTAACAAGTTATAAATTAGCCAGCAATACAACTGCATTGATTAACTGTATTTAAGATTTCAGAAACGGTATCAAGAGAGATGAAAAAGTTATTTCTCTTTACATAGCTGATTTATATAATTGAAGTAGTTTTGCCTAACTAGCACAGTTTTAGAGCAAATGGAATGAATCTTCTGTTTATTCTTAATTTGTCCCAGTAATAAACCCACTTGAAGAACAGGCATGATACAAGATAAGCATAGTACCATGTTTATTTCTAGGATTAGAATGTATTTGGACTTATTAAAATTCACCAATCTAAATATACTTCCTCAAGTCTAAAAAGGCATATCAACATAATTGTAAACTTTTAAGAGAGTTTAAAAAGAGCTTAATTGGCATGAAAGAATGGCTGGTGTGTCACCTCCTCAGCTGTCCCAAATCTGCCTGTTTAGATCCCAGTAGGATTTTTTTTTTTTTTTTTTTTTTTTTTTTTTTTGCGGTACGCGGGCCTCCCACTGCTGTGGCCTCTCCCGTTGCGGAGCACAGGCTCCGGACGTGCAGGCTCAGTGGCCATGGCTCACTTGCCTAGCCGCTCCGCGGCATGTGGGATCCTCCCGGATCGGGGCACGAACCCGTGTCCCCTGCATCGGCAGGTGGACCCTCAACCACTGCGCCACCAGGGAAGCCCCAGATCACAGTAGGATTTTTAGTCATGGATACAGATTTGTCCCAAATTACCTCAGAAATTCTTTAGGGTCCATAGCAGAGGGGAGGCAGAGGATCTAATAAAGTAACTTCCAGGGTTAGCAGCTTAGAAAACTTTGAAGCTTTGTAAAGTCATATATGAGGTGACTGAATTAAAGCCTACACTTTAATTAGTAACTCAGGAACTTTCACGTGACCCTAAGACAACACATGTGGAGGGTTTTAACCTTATTCATGAGGCAGTTGGAACGTTAGCTCAAGGCCCCTTCTTCCACTGTTACAGCTTACACAAAAGATTTGTTTTTAAAGGCAGATGCTTTTGTTTGAGACAGAAATTAAAGCTCAAAATCTCAAGGTCAGTCAACCTACTGTTATTAAACTTATGTGCAGCTCAATCATCTTCTGCGGGTTTTAGGGTAATAATAAGCAGCAATAAAGCATAGATAATTTGCATCAGGAAGACAAATTAGACCTGGCCAAAACAAACCCAGTATGACTGTGCCCTTTATAACAGAGAAAATCCAACTGCCTGCCTTTAAAAAAATAAATAACTCATATGAGATTAAATAAAGTCTGGAGTAGATCATTAACTGTGCTCTCATTCCCTTGCCAGTTCATCTGCTTTTTAAACACATAATTGATTATATGTTTTATCAAACGGACATTTAAAAATAGTCAGTCATGCCTCGAGAATCATTTCCCAAACTTTTGGTACCAACACCAAAGAAAATCAGGATTTGGCACTTGCTGTTAGGTTAATTAATAAACGAGGCCAGTTAGTGCCGTTGTGGTGGTCGTGGGTTTTCTGAAATGTGTCTAATTGGCTCCCCTGAACAAATCTCACCTTCCCTGAGTACTTCGCAGCTGCCTCCTCCGGGCAGATCAGCATTTAGGTAGGAGAACAAATCAGAATGTAACTACATTTTATGGAGGCGCCAAATCTGAGGAAGTGTCTGTCTATATGGTGGCTGGTTGAAATGACACGCGTGCGCTCTTGTTTTTAATGTCTTAGTTGGATGTATTGGACAGACTGGGAGGAAGATGAAATAGATGACAGCGTGGGAAGGATTGAGAAGGCCTGGATGGATGGCTTCAGTCGGCAGATTTTTGTGACTTCAAAGATGCTGTGGCCAAACGGCTTAACTCTGGACTTTCACACCCACACATTATACTGGTGTGATGCCTATTATGATCATATTGAAAAAGTGTTTTTGAATGGAACTCACAGGAAGGTAAAAGACAAATGCTGCTGTTTTAACCCACAGGCTTCTGTCACAGAGCCTTGTTGTGTTGTGTTAAAAATACTTTCAAGTTTATTTTTACCCCTCTGAGGTGGCTGCCAGTAGTCTCTGTGGGGTGGCTGAAGGGGGCTGAGCATTAAGCAGTGCAGCTGGTACTTGGCTCCGGGAGACCAGGCCCAGCTCACTGTGGCATGCCAGCATTTGTGGGACTTTTCAGAGAAGCTCTCAGCATATCAGAGCTGTTTGAAAATGCAGTTTTTCTACATTATTGATGTTTGCTAGGACCAAGCACCCCAGCTCGGTTCAAATATCTTCAATATTTGCACCTGAAATGTAACCTATGTATTATGACAAAGTAATTAGAATTCATTTATTCAAATAAAGAACTTCATGACATTGGAACTAAAACACAAGAGTGGGTTGAACTTCAAGCCTATGGGTGTGAATAAATATCAACATCTTCTTACCTCTTTTGGTAGAATCGTTGCAAGATGATTTTGCAGTTCTTCAGTGAGATCGAGGATGAAGTTGACTGTGTTGGCAAAATATCGCCTCTGTACTCTGTCTTATAATCACCTAAGCACATATAACATTATGAACTGGCTTTGACTGTTTAGTTAAATGATATTTAGAAAAATGGAATATTAGAAGTTACCAAAATGTTTCTTTTGACAATACACTTTCTTCTTTTTTGGAAAGGAAGATTGCACAATTGGCCAAGCCCATTTATTAAGTATTCTCTTTGAGAAATATAATGTACTAATCAGTTAAGACCATTTCAGTCATTGGTTAACTCTAAGAGTACTTTAAATGTCTTTCCCCAAATAAATAAAATTGATTTACTTTTAACCTAATGTCACATACTTAAGAGGTGTTAAAAAATATTTATGATCCCTTTGAAGATGTTGATATGTACACAATATACATAGCACTTTATTAGCCAGCATATTTTAGCCTACATGGAAGTGAGCAAAGAAAAATAATAAACTGTCTCAATTATTCAACATATGAAAATTTGGTATGAAGAGTTCAGATAAAAGGAGCAAAATTTCAGTTTTTAACCCTATATTATTTGGATAACTTGCTCAATCCTCTCATATTAGATGAATTGAGTCCAAAAGGCTATTTCATATTGTATACAGTATCATTTTATAAATTGTGAAAAACGAAAAAGTATTATTATTATGGGGTATGATTCCTATTCTCTTCTACAGCCTTACGTGCAAAACAGAACTTATCACAGGATTGCTCCACTGTGTAGTTTAAACAACCACAAAATACACGGGAATGTAAAGAATATATCAAGAGAAGCGGAATTAAAATTAGCCAGGAGTCTTGTATATCTGTTTACTACCAATAAATGTTTCTATGTTCAAAATTAAAATTTTACCTTCCTCCCTATCATCGCCTAGATTTCTTCAGTTTGCATTAATCCAACTGAATAGAGGGATTCCTTCCACTCCCAGTGTTGTTAGACCATGCTGTATCCCTTGGCTGTTGGATGAGCAATACTGCAATATACATAATGCCACTAATTACTCAGATCAGTTTCTGTGCCAGAATATGATACCGGAATATCATAAAGAAAAGAGATAGGGAAGAGTATCAGGCAAGATCATTTTAATGTTTGCATTTCTTGACCATATATATAATGCCATGTATGAGAGAATTGAAATGGATGAAATGTAAATGGTCTCCTTCAAATAACATGTCCTAAAAACAAAAAAATATGCTCACATTGTGAAATCCATTTTTCAAATACACTGAAAGAAACTGTAAGTTATTAGTTAGATCATTATCTGTTCTACTTATTTGAATATCAGCTTCTCTAAATATTTGGTTATGTTTCTAAAGGTCAGGTCTGATTTTTCACAATGTGTTTATATTTTACAGATTGTTTACAGTGGGAAAGAGTTGAACCATCCTTTTGGACTGTCGCATCATGGGAATTATGTGTTCTGGACTGATTATATGAATGGTTCCATTTTTCAACTAGATTTGATAACGAATGAGGTGACATTACTGAGGCGTGAAAGACCACCCCTGTTTGGACTTCAGATTTATGATCCTCAAAAGCAACAAGGTATTAAAAACCAGATAAAATTGCTTCTGAGTTTCACATATAATAATATTTCAAGAGGTTGCATAAAGACTTTATTTTGACAGTGTTGCTGAAGTTTTCTGATAAAAGGTGTCTAGTCACTCCAAAGTCACTCAAATCTTAGACTTTGTTACCATAAAAATTTATTATTTATTGTTCAAAATATCCTGAGTGAGTAACTCTGGGAATTCTATTTAAGTGACGTTCAAGGTTTTCTCCAAATACTTCCTTTTTCATGTCATCTTCACTGAAAAAGGCTGTCATTTGAAGTAAAAAATCCTCAGTGTTTTCAAAGAGTCAGTATTGTGAGCAGTGGAAAAACTTTCAGTGTGGAAGGAACATTATGGGAAAATGTTAAAAAATACATTATACAAGGAAAATAGTATTTTTTAAAGTATCTTAGTATATTTATCTGATTAATTTCATATACATTTAAGGAACATTTAATTATTTTAGATGTTATAAAAGTGAAACAATCTACCATGATATTCATATCTTATTAAAATCAGATAATATTCTTTTATCTTTTTATCTACATCAGTTATTAATATTTATTAGGCCATCCACAAACAGCATGACTCAGAACTTAGGTAACAAACAAAAAAAAAGTTTAGTAAATTATGTGGTAGATTTTTGGTTATGAATCTAAATAGTCACTGATTCTCTTTTTAATACGGATATCCTTGTGAAAATTTAATGAACATTAAATTTTTTCAGTGTGTATGTTGGCAGTAGGAAGTTACCTAACAACAAGAGTTTTTTTGAAGATATTTTGGCTTAATCAGAGATTTGTAAAGCAAACTATCTTATTCAAGGGCTTCACTTTTTTCTACTGTATTGAAATTGCCTCACTGGGATAGAAATGCAATTTGATAAAATAATGGAAGTACATAAACTAAGAAGTTTCAATAGCTAATAAAAGATAAAATTGTCTTCAAAAAGAATAAAAATTGGGCTTCCCTGGTGGCACAGTGGTTGAGAGTCCGCCTGCCGATGCAGGGGACATGGGTTCGTGCCCTGGTCCGGGAAGATCCCACATGCCGCGGAGCGGCTGGGCCCGTGAGCCATGGCCCCTGAGCCTGCGCGTCCGGAGCCTGTGGTCCGCAACGGGAGAGGCCGCAACAGTGAGAGGCCTGCGTACCTCAAAAAAAAAAAAAAAGAATAAAAATTAATTATTTGAGATGGTATAAGTTATAGTTGTGGACAAGAAATGAAGAATAGAGGCAGTTGCCTGGATAGATCAAACGGTAATATTTTCTGTTCACGTCAGCTGCCCCACCACAATTGTAGTTTCTCTACAATGAACTGGAGACAACATTATGAACAGCAACAACCCTCCTCACCTGCTGCAGGCTCTTGTTTGCAGGACTGCTGTTCCCTCTAATTTTACGGTCACTAGTTTTCTGGATTTCATTATACTAATCAGTATACAGCCACATTTCCTGTTTCCATTTTCTTTAAAAATTGTTCATCTTGAATGTCGTCACTGAACTCCCCTCTGCCAAATTGCAGGACATTTTCACAGTCTTCATGTTCTTTAAAATTCTAGTTGCTTTAAAGAGTTCATTGATTAAATGCAACACATGGGATGAGAAATGCCTTGACTTACTGTAAAATGGACTTGCCCTTGGATACAAGTCCTGACATTTTCTTCTTCTGAAAATCAGGACCTGAAAATATACTTTCTTCCTTGCCTTTCCAACTTGTAGGAATAAGTGGCATCCAAATGGTGACTACCTAAATTTTATTTACTTTTACCTACACCTTTATAAAACAGATTCTCCAGCCTCTTGAAAAATTTACCTCAGTTTTATCTGAGTGTCCAGGAGTGTCTCACATATGTTCATGAATAACACCTTTATGAATTTTCCCTCAGGCCTACTTTACTGATAGCAACTGCGTGCCTTATCAGTGCCTCTGCTGTTTAGGTCCACTGGGACAACACGTTACCCTTGTGTACTGTACACTCTCCTGGTACCAGCAAGGATGCTCATTTTTCAGGCTTTACAGATAGCCTGCATTCCTTGTATTCCTCAATGCACTCACATGCCAATGTACTCCTTCCAGAAGAGGAAGGAAAATCCCACCCGTTTCCCCAGTGTTTGCTTTCTGTTGACTTCGGATCCAAAGGCACATTCCAAGTGCCGGTGGTCTACTTTCTAAAGAGCTCAAACTTGCATACACTGGGCCCATTCTAGGAAATTGTCCTGGACAGACACCATTCTGTCCACTTTGTCCTTTTCTCTCCTGTTACCTCTCTGCACACAAACCTCTATCTCTTCTAACCAACTTGTAAATTCCTCTTATCTACCAATGCATCATATATTTTCAAACATTTTTAAATCTCATTTAGGATTCAGCAGGAATCCTTATTACATTAATAAATAGGTATTATTGGTGGCGTGTGTGTGTGTGTGTGTGTGTGTGTGTGTGTGTGTGTGTGTGTGTGTGTGTGTACATTTTTACGCCATGTACATCTCCTGGAAAGAACATGGGCCTGAACCAGCTAACCTTGTATGCAATCAGAGTTCTCTGACATATTTTCTTCCCTCCTCTTGCAGGTGACAACATGTGCCGAGTAAATAATGGAGGCTGTAGTACATTGTGCTTGGCCATTCCAGGAGGCCGAGTATGTGCTTGTGCTGATAATCAACTTTTAGATGAAAATGGGACCACTTGCACATGTAAGTGTCTTTTCATGTTACACTCATTGTTTATAGGTGTCTTTCTGAGGCACAGAAGCAGACGAAACCAAAGGAATTAAAATCAAACTTGAAAAGAGAAATTCAGGTAATGACTTAGGTATAATTCTTTTTAGACTATAAATAATCAATGGAATTAATATCTAATACCCAGATGAATAATGATAATGATGAAGTTTAGCTGAGTACCCTGTCACTGCTCCATCTAGTTTAGTGAAAATTATAAATAAGTATGTGCCACAGAAGAAAATATTTCTTGAAATTAAGGAACCTCACCATCAGTAGTTGTAAGTAAAAATGCATAGTTCTTGGTTACATAGATATTTATTACTTTAAATAGCATAGTAACCTCAGTTATCTATACTTGGTGGTGAATAGCAAGAAAGGAGGCAAAAAGAGACTTCCGGGGAATTTCTACACTTTATCAAAATAGGGAACTAACTGAATTGCTTGACCTGGATTAAAAGCACTTTATTAACTTTTGCCGACATTCCTCAGTTTACTTCATCTTGCTTTTCCAATGTAACCCTTTTGAAACTTGTCCTGTCTACACACATCATGTCCCTTAAGCACAATGACAGCAACGATGCCATGCATATATTGAGTGCAATATAAATATTTCTGGAATGACTTAATCTTGAATTGTGTGTTACTCATGATTCTCCAGAGAAACAGAATCAATAAGATGTACACATATAGAGACAGAGAAGAAGATTTTTTTTTTTGGCTCTTGCCATTACGGAGGCTGACAGTCCCAAGATCTGCAGTCAGCAAGCTGGAATCTCAGGAGTGCCATTGGTGTAGTTCCAATCTGAATGCTTGGTAGGCCTGACACCCAAGAAGAGCCAGTGTTTCAGTTTGAGTCCAAAGTCAGGAAAACCGAAACCAAAACCAAAACGTCACAGTTCAAGCAATCAGGTAGGAAGAATTCCTGTTACTTGCAGGAAAGTAGGCCTTTTTTCTATTCAGCTGATTGGATGAGGGCCTCTCACATTAGGGAGGGCAGTCTGCTTTAATTTGGTCTACTGATTCAAATGTTAATCTCATCAAAAACACTCTCACAGACACAACAGAGTAATGTTTGACACAAATCTGGGCACTCGGTCGCCTAGTCAAATTGACACATAAAATTACCATCACAAACTGTTGAATAAATATTTCATGTATTTCTCCATTAGTTATAATGATGTCTCTGGGAGGCAGAAGAAGAAATAAGTGTAACAAAGAAGACTTCAGCTTATCTGTGATGTCTTATTTCTTTTAGAGAAGAAAAGATGTGGATAAAAAAATTTTTTAATGTGGATTTCTAAAGCTGATTTAATAAATAGTAACATTTGAGAAATATAAAAACATTAATGAAAAATCTATTTATGATGCCATTATTCAACAATAAGCTTCTAGGACATTTTCATGGGGATCCTTATAATTATATATCTTAGAAGTTATTATAAAAAAGGTTCATGATTCTCATTAGTCCTTACAATAATCATATAAGGAAGATACTATTACTATCTCATTTTATGATTTAAAATTTAGACTGAGAGGTTAATAACTTTTAGAAGTTCATGTAATTAGTATGTAGAACATTTGGAATTTAGATCCTAAATTATTTCATTTTGGTGATTGAACTCTTAATTATGTTGTACTTTACAAATTTTGGATCGTACTAATATAAATTATTTTGTCCCTTATTTTACTTAGTATGAGCATAAGCATTTTACCATGTAACTAAATGTTTTTTGTAAATATGATTTTTAATGACTGCTTTTTAAGCTATTTGTCACCTTTTCCTACTTAATGTATGGTATTATTTCTGATACATTATTATATATTATTTGTGTGTTACTGTACTGTTTATGATTCCTTTTGTATTTGACCATATTGTCCATGGTTAGTTTGTTATATCTTCTCATCTTCTTTAAGCCTTTGGAATAATATCACAAATTAAATTCTATTTCTATAATTTTGAGTTTCAACTATTTGAGATGAGGACTTTGGCTTCCTTCATTCTATTCTCTTCATCTTCCTTAATTTCAGTTCTTATTATAATTTAGGATTTCTGACAAGGAATGTTATTTTGAATTATCAAACAGTAAGTCTCTTTAAAGATGTTTTAACATTTATAGATTTTTGATCAACTTTACAATATTTTCTTTTAGACCTGGATCAGTGCTTCACTAGTTGTATTGGTTAGTACTCAAACTTTTAGTTCTTCATTGTTTATTAATTTTCACTGATGTATAGGATAGATGGAGTATAATTTGAAATAACTTCTTCAAGATGACTACAAAAAATGTATATTGTAGAGTTCTGTATTCCAAATATGTCTCCTTTGCCTTTATATGTGAATAGCAATTCTTCTGGATATTAATTGTTGACCAAACAAATTTTTCTTCAAAATTCGAGAAATATTCTTTAATTAGATTTTGAGATAATATACTTCAGAGCACAAATATGAATGTTACCCGTGGGCAAGGTTTTTTTCCCATTATTAGTAGTATTTTAAAAATTGCCTATATATTTTCCTGTAGAAAGTAATTCTCTGAGGTGTACTTGCTTTGATTCATCAGATGGTATCCCTTCCTTTGTTCTGTGGCATTATTTAGTAATTTCCATCTGGTTGTTGTTTGCATCAGAAGAGAGGAGATCAACCAAGACCCATAGTTTGGGAATAGACAGGGATTAAGCTAAGCATTGCTTTGAATAGCATAAAGTCTGTCCAGTTGCCTGGTAGATTAAATCTTATCTTAGTTATCAGGATAAATGATATGATTTATGTTTACATTTCATAGTTTAATTTCTCCCACAGATTCTTCTAAGATTATTTTTCTGGTACAAAATGAGATCCTTTGCTATTCCAGCTGAATGATTTTGACATTTGAACAGATGAAATGCACACATACAGACGCACATACACACACAGATAGTAACCTTTGTGGACCTCCACCAGGTCTCATCCTGCCTTTGCTGTACCACCAGAATTCCTCTCAAGGATGGAAAGTAACACTGCAGTATCTCCTTTTTGTGGTAGGCACAGACCTTACAGTCAGTACTGGAGGAGCAAAGGGCCTTTTTCCCTACCTAAAAATAGACAAGCTTATTCAGTTTCTAGTGGTATAACTTAGAGAGGCTTCTGATTGAATATTTAAATCTAGTCTTCTTGGTCTTGCAAAAACGTCAAAATTCACTTAAGATAGTGTCAATAGAATGATCAAGAGGCTGAATTCTCAAGGATCTTGTGAATTTTCGTTCTTTATCTTTGTTTTCATCATGGGAATTTGGAGGGAGAGCTTATACATCGGTACTAATATCTAGATGGTTTTTTACTCTTTAAATTTTCTAATTAGTTCTTTAATTTTAGTTGTGTGAGTTATAATTACTTGTATTGTTTGCCTCCAAATTATATTTCCTATTACCTTCATTCTTATTCCCCGTTAAAAATTTACAGATTCCTTATGAGTTGGCATATATATGTGCATATTGAGATTGATTATACAAAAGATTTATCACTGGATAGCTCTGTGTAAATAAAAATTAGGTGGCTTTTGGCTTGTAAAGAAATACTGTACACAATATTGGTCATGTAGCTGATGTTAGGAGATTTGTTATGATAGTTCACGTGTGATTATATATCTGGTGAAAGTTAAAGGAAAGTTTTCTGAGACTATTGGTGTCTTTTTAATACTTATAATTCATTGCTGAGTTAATCCCAATGCAGAAAAAGGGGATTAAAAAAGAAGATTGTTTTACCTATAGTCGTTACACTAAACAATGTTAAATCAACAAAAACAGGTGAATTTTTATTTGAGAATTTATTATTGCATTTAGTTGTCAATTTTTACTAGATTTTTAATATGGCATGCAATTTGTCTAGGTTCCTTTCAAATATAATAGGAAAAATCAAGAGAAATACTATAGTAACTCATTTATTGAAAAGAAGTCAAAGTGTGTTCATATAAATTATTCCAGTTTGTATTCATTAGTAAAGGTTTTTATAAGGAAATTTCAGCCTTAGTTTGCAGATGAGGAAATTAAAGTGCAAAAGGACTACAAATAGAGTTTGTGGTTGCAGAGTATAGTGCAAAACAGATATCAGTGTGTCACTCACCTCTCATTAATGTTGATTTCTCTGGGCTTCTGATTTAGTTCAGGCTAGATTATAATTTTGTGAACTGGTCTCAACTGGATTAACTCGTTAATCTGGATTAAATCTAAATATGTGAGCAAAACAAAAATACATGTTGCAACCACTGAGATACGATCATCCTGGTTTCAGTCATCCTCAGTGAATTGGCATCAAATGAACAAAAACCCATTGGCAGATGGTCACGCCAGAAATAAACACCAACGGTTGTTTCTCAATGAACCTGTAGCAGAAGGCAATGCCAGAAGAGGCATTCACCCAGCAGAAAAATATTGGCATGTTACGTGATTGACTGAGGATGTATTCTAATGCCATGCCTGGAAGGAATCAAGAATGAGAGTAGGCTGGACTCTTTGTCCTTGTGAATTTCGTGTGTCATGGTCAAGTCTTCTCATAATTAGAAATGAGGCCTGGTGTAGCATAGTCACTGGAAACTTACTGCCCTGGAGAAGCATATGGAAAGCCAGTTGATCAATTATCAAGTGAGTTTTTTTTTAATTTATCTTGATGCCTTTGTAGGGAAAAATCACATAGCATAGAAAATTAATAAATGAGGACAAGAGTAATCCTGAGAAAGGAAGTTAAGCTCCTACAAAAATAAAAAAATGATAGTCACTATTTCTTTTAAAATAGCAGCATAATTTTGTCTAGAGTAATGAGACAGTAACATAGTAATTCTTTAAATGCCTCTTTAGTGGCCTGGACAGAAAAAGAAAAAGAACAGAGCTTTCCAATATGTCTTAGTCCCAAGAAAGCAACTTAAACATTGCCCCAAATATTGGTCATCCAAGGGTAGCATTGCACAGTTATATGTCAGTGGTACTCTGTGACCTCCTTC